TGAACTCCCTCAGCCCTTCCCTATGTTTACCAGCCCTTTGCTGCCCTCGTTGCCCTTGGCTGGACTCGCTCCAGTGCCTCAGTGGCCTTTGGGCAGTGAGTGCCCAAAGCTGAGCACAGCACTGAGCTGGGACCTCCCCAGTGCCCAGTCCAGGGGGATGAGCACTGCCCTAGTCCTTCTGCCACACTGCTTGATAAATATCCTCCATATTCTTGAAGGTTTTCCCAAGCTGGATTAATGCTGGGCCAAGAGCTTTCCTGCTGTTGTGCGTCCTCAAGGCGTGGGAGAGTGGGACTCAGGCACCTCCTCCCTGTCGGGGCCGTGGCAGGGGCAAGGTTGGGGTCACTCTGTGGACAGGCTCTGCAATCCCAGAGAAACATCCCTGGGTTCCCAGCTCCAACGGCAGTGCTGGCTGAAGGCTGTGAGCTGAGGCAGCTCTCAGGGCTCCTGCCAAGCATGCCGGCTGAGCTCCGCTCTTGGACCATGCCAGGCGGCCGGGGGAGCTGCTTTCCCAGGACACTGTCCTCCTCCTGGGGCTCCCAGACAGAGTCAGCACTAGGATCATCACAGCCTTTTGGGTAGAACGTGCTGCTATCTTGTGCTCCCCATGGAGCTGTCCCCAAGTGAAAGTCCTCCCTGATCTGCCCTCTGACTTCTGTGGTGGAGTGACTCTGTCAGACAAGGGAAGGGTCATGGATGTCCTGGATCTGGAGTTCTGTAAAGCCTTTGACTCAACCCCACACAACATCCTCTGCATTGGAGAGATGGATTTGATGAGTGGACTATTGGAAGGGTAAGAAAACAGTTGGACAATCACATCCAGAGGACAGTGGTACATGCCTCAGAGCCATGATGGACATCAGCGACGACGGGTGTCCCCACGGGGTCCTGACCAATGGTGTCCCCCAGGGGTCCATACTGGGACCAGTGATATTTAATATCTTCACTGACACAAAGGGATCGAGTTGACAGGTGAGACCAAGCTGAGTGGTGCAGTGACACACCTGGAGGACAAGGACATCCAGAGGGACCTGGACAAGCTCCAGCTGTGGCCCATGGGAATCTCATGAGGGTTAACAAGGCCAAGTGCTGGTGCTGCCCCTGGGTCAGGGCAGCCCCTGGGATCAGTGGAGGCTGCAGATGAGCAGATGGAAAGCAGCACTGGGAGAGGGAATTGGGTGCTGGGGGTGAGAGGCTGGACATGCCCTGGCCGTGGCCATGGGCACCCAGAATCCATCGTGTGCTGGGCTGATCCCACAGCAGGGCAGGGGAGGATTCTGCCCCTCTGCCTGCTCAGGTGAGACTCACCTGCAATGCTGCACCAGACCTTGCTGATGGAGGCAGTGTCACTGCTATTCCCAGATGAATACCTGCTCTGGGGACTTCGGGCAGAGACCTGGACACTCCTGGAGCTGTTTCCTGGGTGGGAGATGAGCTGGTGGTGCTGGATGCACACAGCCACTGGCATTTTCCAGAGCTGGGAATCATCTGCATTCACTGCTCGATATTCCCTGCTGAGGCAGGGCAGGGTGAGAGCAGGTCATGCCGAAAATCTGCCAGCAGCAGGTTGTGCTGGGAGGCACCACAGCCCTCCAGAGCCAGGTCTAGCCTGTGAATGGGGACACTGGTGTCCCCACACTACACACTAGGGACAGACAGTCCAAACACCTCATTCCCACCCAGCAAAAAGCCTGGAGGCTCAAATTCCTGGGGGAAAGGACAGGCACGTCTCCTGCATCCCCAGGATGAGCAGG